GGGGAGAGAAGAAAGCGAGCGGTTAGGGGGCGGTTACCAGCCCTGCTGGACTCGCCCAGCACATTGCCGGGCCCGAGTGTGGAGCGGAGAAGGCGCTGCGACCTAGCTGCGCGAAGGTAGGCGCCCCTGAGGGAGGACGCGGCGCGAGCCTGCTAGGGGGCGTCGCGCCGGGTGGGCAGTGGGAGTGGCGGCTTCGGGGAGTGGAAGCGAGCGGCGCGGAGCGCAGCGTCCCGGCTCAGCCTCGCAGCGCTGCGGGTCGCTCCGGCTCCGAATCGCGGTCGCCTCAGGCGTCCCCAGCGTCTTCGGACTGAGAGCGTGTGTGGGCTGAGGTAAAGTGCCCGGTGGCCCCTCTGCCGGCCGGGGCAGTGCCGGGGGCCCGGCGCGGGGGACGGGGGCGGGCGCCGGAGCTCGGCTGCAGCTCCTCTCGGGCAGGAATTGAGCGCCATAACTGCTCCGGCTGTTCTCCCCGGTGCCCCTTCCCGACGCCCCCTCCCTCCCTGTCCTCTGCCGGGTCTCGGGGCTCACGGAGTCAGACCCGCGGCGGGAGGACCTGCTCTGCGGGCCTCCTGGGGCCGGATGCTCCGGGGAGCGAGGGCGCGCCCGGGCTGTTTCCACGTTGGGGGGCAGGAAGAACCGAGTGCCAGGAGAGGAGGGCCAGCGGTGCGGGGAGCGGCGAGACCCCCGGGGAGCCGGGTGCCCCCGGAGCCCGAGCGCGGGCGCCCTGCGGGTTGGCGAACTTTCCCTCCCCCTCCCATCATTGTTCGGGCGCTGCTGGTCCGGGGCCGCCGCAACCGCCGAGCGCCGGGCGCCGGGCGGTCCGGGGGTGGGAAAAGCGGGAGGGCTTTGCGAGCCTTACAGGAAAAATTTCCCACCGCCGGGCACGGCAAAGTTAACTTTTCTCCAGCCATCAAGTTGGTTTTATTCCCTTCGCCGTGGGGCAATCGATTAAAAAAAAAGAAGAAGATAGCCTCCCTCCGATCTTGCTCTCTCGCTTTTCAGAGCCACGGCTTCGGCTCTGAAGTCTGGCTTTAAATTGCACGGGGCAACCTGCGTTTATTACTTGCGAGGAGGAAAGGGGGGCGGGATCTCGAGTGAGTGACCATCATGGTGGTATGTGAAGACATGTTTAAAAGTTGGTATCGTTGTGTAGCTCTGGGACATATGTAGCTCCTAGGCTTTTGGCAAGAAACTTGTTTGGCCGCTTCTCTGACTTATCTGAGTTGCAAGGAAATCCATGGCCTCAGATGGGCACGAAGTTTTTTTTTTGATGTAAGAACCATTTATCTGTGAAGTTGAGGATGAGATCCCCGCGCCCCTCAGCCGCCGTCTGATCGTATAAGAAATCAAAACCGTGTTAATGGTGATTCTAGTGGCCTGGAGGGAAAGGCGACCACATTCCCGGTATTCAGTCTGATAAAGATAACTACTTCTCTCTAAACTCGAAAAGTAATGGAAAATAATTTAGGTAAAAACTGGTTGCACAACATCTTGGCTTAGTTGAAGCAACCCAGAATCCAATTTCCCAGAGTGGTTCTCTTCAATACATTCCCTGCAGCCACTTCTTGTCAGCATGGGAGTGGGGGGTTGGGGATGAGAAAGGAGTCAGCTTGAACAAAGTTTTGTGTTTTTATTGAATTTAATACTTTCATAATATCTGTAAACAATGAGAATGCGGATCCAGGTCTCTGTACCCTTCGAATAGTGTAGTTCTCTTGCTTTTATTAACTTCATGTGATGCCTCTCCAGAGAAGTGAAAATAGACGTGTTTTTTCTTTTTTGTTTGGCCCTAGGAGTATTCTACCTCCATAACATATCATTTTGTTTTTCATGTAAAGTGAGCTCAGAGCTTAAATACTTGAACTGTGAAAGGATAATACCTGTCTTCAAGGGGGGAGAGATTTACATGAGATCTTTGTGAAGTACTTCTCAGATAGTGTTAGCTACCGTGATTGCCACCTTGTCTTCAACTGTGCTCTTCTCTACAGCTTTGTTTGCTAGAGAAGAGCTCTTAGCCCAATATTGTTGCCTTGAAACAGTTCCTTGCATTGTTCGTCCAGTCAGTTCTGGAATACTCAGGGGTGCAGGTCTGGTTCTAGAACCCACACTTTCTGTCTCCCCCTTCTCTGAGTCACGTTGCTGTGCCTTGGCAGTGTGGTAAATGCCTTCTCACCTGGAGGAGCTTGTGAATCTTGGTCGCAGGTAGGAGAAAGTGGAGAGGGGCCTTCCACTCCTTCCTGAAGTGTTTATGATCATCTTGGAGCCAGGAGTGACTTGGAAGCAGCCTTAGGGTTGCCTGTGACCCACCTTCTGGCCTGTAGAGGAGGTTCCCAGGAGCGGAACAGGTAACGGTGCAGGGCTCTCATAGTAGTTGAGAAGTATGGGTTAGTGTTGAAAGTTAAAATAAAGAACAAAGGATGTTGAAGGCGTATAGGTTGGATATGATCCTCTCCTTTGATAATGCTTGTCTTTTCTCTCCCTTGTGTTCCACCAGCCATAACAACCCATTTCTCCCCTAAGCTACACAAAGCCATTTCTTCTTTTTGCCCACTACTTTGAGGTCTGGCTTTAGAACTAGGCGAGTATTTGGGGGGAATTGGGGGAGGCAGGAGGCATCAGGTGTCATGAAGACATGGCATTACAGGGGGCCATTATAAGCCTTGATCGGAGATACCGAGGTTGAACATTATCATAGGACATTATGCACCTACCTCCTCATGGTGCTTATATAAAACAGGAGCTGAGGAAGGTAGAGGTCGTATGCTGGCTTACATTAAGAAAATCTCTCTTCGGGGGAATACCTTACTATGACCTTTACTTACCTCACCTTATAGGTGAGGGGTGGGTGTTGGGTGACACCCCTCTGGCACTCTCCTGAAATTGCTATTATGGGGACACTTGAATGGTTTACAAGTTTCTACCTATTGTGCCAGCTATAGTGGCTGGGAAAGCTGAAGTATTCTGGTTTGTGGGGTGGGGAGGATCTAGGATGAGTGGGTAGAAGTGATGAATGAATAAAAGGGTGCTGGCAGGTGGTCATTATAGACCAAGTAACTACTGCTTTGAGTTTTCTGTTTTCTGGAATCTTTGTGACTCCCCTATAGTTATTTTTGCCTCCTCCCTGTAGGTCTCTCCATAGACAATAGCAGCAAAGGTCTTACCATCAGAACTGCCTCTGTGCTTCTCTTGGGGGACAGCGAGAAAGAAGGGTCCTGGGGAGAATTTGACCCTATAGCTAAGCTTGGGAAAAGGAAAGTAAGAACTCAGAGGGCAGCCCAGTGAAGAAAGTGGGGGAAATCGTATTGGGGCTTTGACCAATAGGAGATACCTATGTGTTCATTAATACTCTTCAAGCGGTAAATAATTTAATCTCTGCCACAACCCAGAAGCCATGGCTGAAGCCTGCTACCCAGGGAGCTCTTTGTCCCTTGATATTGGCTGATAGGCAAGGAAACCCGAACCTGGAGTGTGTTTTTTTGGAACAGCTGACAAGAGAATATGGTATCATTATGGCCAGTACACTAGACCTTGTTGCTGGAATCTCATGGGAAAATTATTGTTATTATTATTTTTTAGATTTTTTAAAAACTTCTTATTTTGATATAATATTATAATTACAAAAAAGTTGCGAGAATAGGACAAAGAACTCCTGTATTCCCTTTACCCAAGTTCACCAGTTATTAACCCATTTGCTCTATTTCTTTTTCTGAACCGTTCGAGAGTAACCAATGAGAGATCGGTACTTGTCGAAGGCATCCTGTCATGAAGGGTGGCTTAGGTTCAGGTGTGGGGTCTAGCAGAACATTGGTGGTGATGCAGGGCCCCAGAGGTAAAGTCTGCCTATAGGTGTGAAGCACACATTTGTAAATCACATGTGATCTCTGGTGCTAGATGTAGAAATCCTTATCAATTGTAAAAGTGGTTAAGATAGACTCCCCTTTTGTCATCATTCTTATCAAATTTGTTCCTAACTATGCCAAACTTTAATGTTGTTATGAAAATCCACTCCACCACTCCCTAACTTTGTAGCCATAATATATTCTCCAACATTTTCATTTAATTCATTCACCAGACATGTATTGAGTGCCTCCTATTTGCTGGGGGTATAAGAGATGAAAGATATTCACCCCCTTAAGAGCTCAACATCCAGTGGAAAGGAAGTAAGGAACTCTCCCATCACAGTCAAGGGGAAGAATATTCGCTGAAAGAGTTTACAGGGGGTGATTGGAACACCAAGCTGGTTAAGGATCTGAAGAGTAGATACTTGGGAGTCATTTGGGATGTACGTGAATGTGAAGGTCTGTCTTCTCTGAGGCTTGCTGCTCTTAGATGGCAAGGTTCACGAGTTAGGGAAGCCTTTGGTGTCATACACCCAGCACAGGCTGTGGGGTCAGGCCAGCTTGGATTCTAATCTACCACTTGATCTTGGCCAGTGACTTAACTTCTCTATGCCTTAGTTTCTTCATCTGCCAAACCACATCTCCGAAATAATAATTAATTGAGGTAATAATTGCTCTGTAAACTTTCATTTCATCTTCCCCTCCAGAAACGCAGTATGTGGGGAAATAGCATGAAAGGTATTAGGTATTAAGGTGGGATCTAAGGTGGTGTTTCTATTTTTTCTACAAATAAATATCTAATTAGTAACTGTGCTAAGAGCTATGATGGAGATTATTATATGGGATAATAACAATGACCGCAGCAATGATTTATTAACCATTTCTTGTGTGCTGAGCACTGTGCTAAGTGTTTAACGTAGGATATCTCTCTGAGGTGTGAGGCTCAGAGAGGTGAAGCAAAGGTAATTTGCCGAGGGTCACACAGCAAGTAAAAGGTAGAATGCTTCTGTGAGGAGACCAGCAAGGTACCCTGGAGCCTTAAGGATGAGCAGGAATAAGCAAGGTAAAAGTCAGCGAGAAGGGATTGCCCGGCAGAGGCAACGGCAGGTGTTGTGAGAGCACTGAGGTGGGAGAGAGATGTGGAAAGGATCCACAGAGGTTTGGCTAGGACCTGGGGAAAGAGATGAAGTAGGCAGGGGAAGATTGACAGGACCTTATGGGACCTTGTTAAGGAGCTTGTGTTTTATTCCAAGGGCAATGGGAGGCTACTGAAAGGTGTTTTTCACCTTTTCTTAAACCGTATAGTGTGTGTGTGTGTGTGTGTGTGTGTGTGTGTGTGTGTTTAATCCAGAAAAGCATCTAGTGAGGCCTAAACAAAAGTGGCTTGAGAAAGTCATTTCCCTTTCAGTGTTCCACTTTGTGATCCAATAGAGGCGATGTTTCTGGCCCAAATGTATAGATCTTAAGCAGTTTTTACTGCCTACCATTAACATGGCTGAAAAGAGTTGCTGTGATGCTAGAAGAAGCTGGTCCTGCAGAATGCTTCTAGGAGGGGGTTTGATTAGGCTCATGTGTCTGATGCTTTTTAGGCTGTGTTAAGGGAGCTCTTTCAGCTTTCACTTAGCCTTGTCAAATGGGGAAAAAAGTAGAATTGGGAGAAAAAGTAATTCCTGGGAAGCTGAGTTGTTGTTCAGTGTTAGAAATGGAACTGTTGAGTATAAGACTTTGGTTTAAATATATCATGATAAAGATGCTTCAGTGACTAAATGGAAATTTTTTATGTTTTTTGTTTTTTTGATGTGTGCCATCTGTGATGGCAGACAGCACATTTGTGAGAATCTGGGAAGACAGGCATTTTTTCAATAGTTATATATTTATTCTCATCCAGGTACTGCAGGTTTTTCTGTTTGAAACTATTTCTTATGTGCAGAGTAAACTTCACAGGAGGAAAACCAGTGTTCTCTTCCCCTTTCCATATATACTGGACCACAAACATATTTACTTTGAGGTAGCTGTGTTAATTAGCTTTTTTTGGCGGAGAGGGTGATTAGCTGGCGGCTGGATGATCTAGGACGGCCTTGCTCACACATCTGGTTGGCAGGCTGGTTGGTTTAAGAGGCTCTAAGCTGGGATGGCTCATCTCCACTCCAAGTGGTGTCTCCTCCAGCTGGCTAGTCTGGGCTTGTTAACATGGTGGTCTCAAAGGCACAAAGAGGAGCAAGTGAGAGCAAGCACCAGTGCACAAGCACTTCTCAAGTGTTTACTTATGTCACATTTGATATTGTCCCATCAGCCAAAGCACTGAAGTGCTTCCGTGGCCAAGCCCAGAGTTGTTGTGGTAGGGGACCATCCAAATGTGTGGATACGAGGAGATGTGAAAAAAATTGGGGGCCATTATTGCAGTAATGCATAATGATTATTAACAAATGTAACCTCTTTTCCTTTGATAAATCTTGTTAAACACTCATTTAAATGTAGTGTTTTCTTGAGGCTAATATGATGGTACCACCTTCTTTCCTACCTTCTCCTCTACCGAGTGTGGGGCTGAGTGATGATTTTTCTAGGAGGAAGCCAAAGGGAGACAGTGTGGCTCTGGACATAGATATTCTCACGAGTGGCTTGACTGCTTACTGATCTTGTGTGGTTATTATCGAAGGAGCCCCTGGGTTTCCTCAACCTCCTGTTCAAGCTTTATCACAAAAACCATAGTGTACTAGGCTGTATTAGGTTTTGTAGTTAAGCAAAAAGATGGTTGATTGGGAGTCCATCACTACCTGAAGGATGAGAGAAATATTTGCAGCCTTTCCTCATAATCTTTATGTGATTTATAGTTTTTACCTAAGAGAAGAAATCCTTGTTTGGGCGTTATAATAAGGACAAAGGATTCTCTGTAGATATGTTTTATTTGGTCAAGATTTAAAAATCTCCTTGTGGTTGCAGTGAAGAATTCAGTATAGTGCTATGAAGTGAGTGGCCAGTGAACAGCAATTTGGGGCATCAGCCTTTGGCATTTGCTTGTGAAGATTTCAGAAGTAACACCTGTCACGTAACTGAGCTAGGCTTTACGACCAGCATGTAGCCTGAAATATATTACATGAAAATGCAACTGGACCCTAGGAAGCGTGTGTGGGAAACTGCGTAGAAGGCTCACTTTGTATATCTTAGAGATATACATTCCTCCAGAAAATTGCTTGGTGTTAGAAGCTCAGCTTCCCTTCCTTCCTCCTAGGATAAAAATTAAAAATGAAAAATCCCTGACGTTTTAAAAGTCAGTGACTTGAAAATAGCCATCAGAATTATAAATACACGTACCATTTGACCCAGCAAACACTTCCAGGAATTTATTCAACAAATATTTGCATATTACTTGAAGTGTTGCTTGTAATAGCAAAAGATTGCTAATATCCTAACCAGTCAAGGCTTGGTTATACAGTGGAATATTACACTGATATTGCATAATCTTCAAAATGTATGAAATGAAAAAAAGCAAGAAACAGAACTGTGTATTGTGAGCTACCATTTGTGTAAAATAGATAGTAGGGCATTAATATATACATTTTTGCTTACATAGATATAAAATATTTCTGGAAGGATATTCAAGACACTGATAGCTTTGTGGCGTACATGGCCGGGGTAGAGAGTTGGAGGGAGACTTTTTACTGCGCAAACCTTTATATATATCTTTTGAATTTTAAGCCATGTGAATATATTACCCTGTTTTAAAAATTAAATACATTTATTTAAAAAGAGATGGTAGATGGTGATGTGCCCCAGTTTCCTCATTTGTAAAATGAAATTAATAATAATGACCACTGGAATTCTTGTGTTTAATTAATGGCATATTAAGGATAAAATGCTGAGCAATGTCTGGCATGCCAAATATGTTGTTATTATTATCTCATGCTTAATAGAACCTTTTCTTGTCAGAAACATTCATCTTTTCTCTTTTCTTTTTTGTGAGGAAGATTAGCCCCAAGCTAACATCTGTTGCCAATCCTCCTCTTTTTGCTGAGGAAGATTGGCCCTGGGCTAATATCCGTGCCTGTCTTCCTCTACTTTATATGTGGGATGCCTGCCACAGCATGGCTTGATAAGGGGTGCGTAGGTCCATGCCTGGGATCTGAACTTGTGAACCCTGGGCTGCCGAAGCAGAGCGTGCGAACTTAACCACTATGCCACTAGGCCTGCCCCAGAAACATTCATCTTTGATTGATTAAAATGGAGAAATTAAGTAATCGATAAGTGTGGTGTGTTGGCAAGCCTTGAAAGCATGCTGTCTTCCGGGGAAGTTTCAAAAGTTGTCCTTGGTGGTAAAAATGTTTAGGAACATAGATGTATGGGAGTCCTATATAACATCCGAAGGTTGGACCAGATGCCCAATTTTGATGGTTTTACTTGCCCTCCCAACATTAAAGAATCATGTTCACCAAAAATTTAGTGCCTTGCTATACTTCATAAAGAAGCTGCAAAAAGTAGCTCAGAATCAACTAACACTCATTGAGTGCTTGTTCTAACCAAGCCCCAGGCTAGGTACTCCTCCAGTGTATAAACCTGAGTACCTCCCCACAAAATAAGTAATTTGGCTAATCACTAAACGTTATTTTTATACTTTTTTAAAAAAAGCTAACCGTTGATGACACTAAGAAGGTGTGATTTCTTGGAGCCCCCATGATGTGAACCATTTATGATTTCTCAGAGTCTATGTTAAGGCACATCTTTTTATAGGAAACCTCCCCAGTTTTGAGGAGCACGTTGAGGAGAGAATTGCAAAAACTCAGCAGGCCCACTCAAATCTCTCCCTAGAGCGCTATGTCATTAGAAAATGCAATGCAGGCCCCTTTCTTGCATAACTGCTGTATAGTATGGTCTGGCTCAATCTGAGCAAGCATCGAGGGCAGAAGGGTTGTGTTTTCCCCTGGAGAACTTCTCCCTATCCTATGAGGTACGAATAAAGGGCTACCCATTCGTCTGCTAGACAGTGGATGAAACCCAGATGGTGCAAAGAGGAACCTAAATGTCCTTTCTTTTCTTGTCTGTTAGTTCATTTGTTTTATAATGTTTTCACCTGTCACAAGCCATCAACCGAGGACAGTTCTTCACCTGGGATTTCAGGGGAACTGCATGGAATAAGAAGTCTTGAACACACAGTCTGGGATGTCATCTCTGAACTGTTTCCTCACTGCCTCCCCTTCCCCAGTACCACCAACAATTCAACACCAAGTTTACCTGGAGCCTTTCTTCACAACTGGAACATCCTTCCCTCTTTGCCCTGCCAATCCTGCCTGGGCCAATTCTTCCTAATTCTTGCAAATTCTAGCTCAGCAAGAGACTCCCCCCGCCCATCCCCAAAGCTCACTCATTTGGACGCCATCCCCTACGCCATATTCCCTCATTAAGTCCTGTCTTTTCTATTCACTTTGGCACCTAATGCCATACTTCCTTACTCTGTGACCTATTTTGTATACAGATGACCTGAAGGTTTACAACTAGACTGCCACTCCCAGAGTGGTATGAAACCCTCAAATTCTTTACATTCTGTCTCCCACAAATACCTGAAATAGAATTGCTGCGTGCAATTTAATTAACAAACCAAACATCAATTCTCATATTGTGTTTAAAAAATTACATTTTACATCTTCTAAGGGCCACATAAGTCCTGGTGGAAAGCAATAGTTTGGAAAAGAAATATGCATTTTGCAGACTGTCAAAAGAAAACTGATGCTTTGCCATGCTGCCACTGGGACAAGTGTGGGTGTGCAGCCTGCCTGGGCAGAGCATAGCTTCACAGTATAGATTACAGTCAAAACTGCAGGCAGCTTTTCCCTGGCTCCATCATAGTTTCTAGCCTGCCCCATGATTCCTTGCCCACTTGTAATGTTAAAGAGCACTAGGAATTTTTTCTTTTCAAATATACACAAAACTTTGACTGTAAATAGTTATATTCTACTTGTCTCATATGAAACTCACATCATATACAGGAGAGGGGTGTGTTTGTGTGTATGACCCTGAATTTAGCTCTCTATAGGGTAACCAATTTAAATCCAGGATAAACATTTTTTATACTTCTATAAATATACCTGTAAAAGCTCCCATTAAGCCCTTTAGCCCCTTGAGGAGAATCCATGTAGGCACTTGCCTTTAGGGAAATTATCTCTAGGCTGCTTTCTCGCCATGATCTCTGTGCCACTACACTCCAGGTCCAACTCAACTTCCTTCCAGACTGCTGTCTATAAAGTGCAGGCTCTAAAGGCCTCTTCCCTGTACTACCATCCCTATTCCTGGCACTAGGCCACCGCTGACTCCTGGCTGTAGCGTCTGTACTCCTGAGAGCCTAACAGTTAAAGTCCCCCATACCCAATCATAACCCTTCCCACCACCCTTACCTCTAAACTTCCCAAATCCTCTTTGCCCACTCCACCCAGGCATGCATTCACTAGAGTCTAAACATACCATGGGTCATCCGGCCGCTCTGTCTGTACTGCCCTGCCTGAAGTTCTCCACATTCCTCTGGGTTTGTTCCATCCTGCACGTTCCTCAGGACCCACTCACAAGCTCATCTTTTTCACCCCAGTGGTTCCTACCATCTCTGAAGGCCCACAGGACTAAATGTGCTCAACACTCATTTTCCCAGATGGGATGGTATGATAGAGTGGTTAATGGCCACAAAGTCCTTGCATCTTTGTATGTACAGCCGTTTACAGTGTGACTTTCTAGCTCTTTCCGTCAAAAGGTGGAGTCTGTTTCTCTACTCCTCAAATCTGGGCTGTTCTTGTAACTTGCTTTGGCCAATAAAATGCAGCGTGAGTAACTCTGGGTGACTTCTGAGCCTAGATCTCAAGAAGTCTTGTAGCTTTCCTCTTGTTCCCTGGGAACCCTGAAGCAACCAGGTAAAGAAGCCCCAGCTAGCCTGCTGGAGGAAGAGAGATGATGTGGAGAAGCCAGTCAACAGCCAACCATCAGACATGTGAGTGAGGCCACCTTAGATCCTGCAGCTGCAGGCACATTGCCAGATGACTGTAACTGCATGAGGGACCCTTGGAAAGACTAGCAGAAGAACCACCCAGCTAATTCTAGCCCAAATTGCTGACTCATAGAATTGTGAGCAAATAAAATGGTTGTTATTTTAAGACACTAAGTTTTAGGGTGATTTGTTACTCAGCAATAAATAACTGAAAGGGTAGGTTTGTACTGCTGTATTCCCAGGGCTTAGAGGGCATGCCCATGGCAGGTTTTCAGTAACAGATTGTTGTGGATCACTGTCATCATGGTGTCATTCCTCTCTTTACTTAATAGACAACCTAGCTTCCCAATCCTTGTGTCTCCCTGCCTCTCAAACAGTTCAAAGCTTGGCTCAACACTGTCTTCCAGAATGACACCTTGCAGTTCTTTGCTCCACTGGACCAACATTCATCCATTTGCTCCCTTCACAGCCTCATGACAGGTTGTACCTCTCAGCTCCATGCTGCATCCCTCACTGCTTACCCTTGTTCACTAACCCTGTGGGGCCAACCGGTGGACCGCCTCAATGCCATAAAGCTGTTCTCAAATTCCCAGCCCTTCATAATCACTCTGAACCCTCACTACCTGATTCACATGTGCTTGTAATTAGGAGGGACCTTAGAGATTATCAAGGACAGCCCCTTCCAGTTACGAATGAGGAAAGGAATGCCCAGATAAAAAATAATAATAATAAATGGCTTATTCAAGGTCACTTGATGGCAGTGTCAATATCAGAACCCACAACTCATGCAGTAGTAGATTGCTTATTTGTGCTTGGTTCATATGTGTGAAACTGTGCCTTGCTGATTAAACTATGAAAGTTCTTTGGAGGCAGACGCATCTTTTACTTCTCCTCCCTTTTCACACTCTTCTGCTATCCCCAAAGACTAACCAGTGACTACTGGACACATCAGTAATCAATAAATACTTGTTGATTAATTGACATTTAAAAAGCAATTATGCTTGGAACTGTTCTATATCTTGTTTGTGGTGGTAATTACAACCTACACATTTGTCAGAACTTCAACTGTTCATTAAAAAGGGTAAATTATACTATGTATAAATTTTTTAAATTAAGGTATAATTCAAAGCAGTTATGCTGAAGAAATCCATTTATTTGATAAATGTGGCTAAGTGTATAGGTAACATGTTACTGTGAGAAAAGGAATTTGGCTGTTTGAAAATAAATTTGCACATAATAGGCACTCAGTAATGTTAGTTTCCTTCCTCCTTGCACAAAAATGCTTCTTGATCACATGTCAAGACTGCTAAAGAAAGCATTGCTGCCCTAGGAGATGGCTGGGTCTCAGATGACTTCTAAAATCTTGTGATTGGTTTGAAAGGTAAATAAATGACTATTTTGGAATGCTTGTGTCAAGTAAAATACATAAGCGTTACCACACTATTCTAAAGGCTGGCCCCCTAGAAACTTAATTTTAGTTTTAAGGACTTAGACTCGGGTATAAAATAAACCATTAGCCCTCTGTTAATAGAAATTAATTAAAACTTAAAAATAATACAAAAGGGTGACCAAATGTCCTTTCATTGTCATACTGGAGCATTGATTGAGAGGCCCCCCCCCAAGGATTATTTAGTTCTTTAGGGGATTGCATCTTTGTTTGGCATATTATTCACTAATGATTAGAGCCCAGACTTTTTGAAGTGACATGTTAACTTACAGATTTTTGTCTGGTAGAGATGTAAAAATTTCTGTTTGGTAGAAGAAATAGTCTGAAATACTACAGATAACTGTCCTATAGGGCATTAACCACTTTTCTATCTAATTTAGCTATCTTATTCTAGCATTTTTACTTTCAGTACCTATATATACTGAATCTCAAATATTCTTTGAATCAGTCCTACATCCTGCTGGTTCCCTCACTAATAAATTAGTCTTTGACATGTGTTCATTCTGTATTTGTATGTGAGTCATGCTTTTAATTTTGAAAATTATATTTTGACCCTCCAAACATCCTACAACATTGCCTGTGGGTCATGCTCCATCCTCTACAAAGTCCCTGAAATCCACTACTGATTGCTGGTCTTAATGCTGTACCAGCGCCTTGAAATAACCTTTGTGATCATGCTGGTATCTGAAAAGGTCTTTACAGGAAAAAACTGGATACTTCTGCAGGTGCTCAAGAATGTTGCAGAAAGCTTTTCTGGAACTGCTCTCATAAAATGAGAAACTGATGTTCCTTCCTATTATGTTATTGTTCTATCTATAAGCTGAGAGAATGACAGTAAGAATCTTTGTTTTAGGAGATCCAGAGCAAACAGACTCGCACTGGCCCTTCTTTCCTGTCAAACACTATTCCTATAATCCTCTTTTGCTAGTAATGGCCATAAAATAACTGTATTGGAGCAATAAAAATTGATAAACTACCAGCTGCCTCAAAAATCTAACAGCTTTGGCAAAATATACTGCAACTCGTTGTGATACAGCCTCCTTTTCCCTAACAGGTTTTATTTTAACACTTTCCTTTTCACACTACTGAACAGCATAATCAAATAACAAATTCAGCAAAAGCCCAGTGTG